GGGTCTGTGCCTTTCTTCTTTTCCTTCTGAAAAATATTTGGGTCTGTGTGTTGGGGGTCCATGCATTGCTTTTTCGTTTTTTTCTTGAAAAATATGACACACTTGAGCCGCCCTCCACACCAGGAGGGATAAGAGCCCCTACCGTCTTCCCCTGAGTAGACCGCAATGTTATTACTGCTGTATCTAGACTGAAAGCTGCCCCAAATACAGCTGTAATGACCGTGTGTTCTATTTAGCTGAAGACAGTAGCCTCATTGAGAGCCCACCAGATACCATGGCTCTTTCCGTCAGTAGGGAGCAGCACGTTTTGGGAACAGGCCCCAAGTCCCTTCACCAGAAATATTATCAAATATTGCTAAGTGTGTTAACAGAATTCTCTCTATGCATTGCTTGTGACTCTTTTTTCTCTTCCCTATTATTTTTCTCCTGCTCTCCTCCTCCTCCTCCCACTACTACTACTACTACTACTACTACTACTGCTACTACTACTGCCGCTACTGCTACTGCTACTGCCACTCCTGCTGCTGCTGCTGCTGCTGCTACTGCCACTGCTACTGATACTGCCACTGCCACTGCCACTGCCACTGCTACTGCTATTGCTACTGCTACTGCTACTCGTACTGCTACTCCTGCCGCTGCTGCTACTGCTACTGCTACTGCTACTGCTACTGCTACTGCCACTGCTACTGCTGCTGCTACTGCTACTGCTGCCACTGCTGCTACTGCTGCTGCTACTGCTACTCCTACTGCTACTGCTACGCGTACTGCTGCTGCTGCTACTTCTTCTTCTTCTGCTGCTGCTGCTGCTGCTGCTATTGCCACTGCCACTGCCACTGCCACTGCTACTGCTACTGCTACTGCCACTGCTAGTACTACTTTCTTTTTATTTTCCCTACTACTACTACTACTACTACTTCCACACCTTGTCCACTTGGCTGCAGGAGTATGTAAACTTCCGCATTAGCAATGATGGTGCTCTGGAGGGTGTGGGACTTCTGATTGCATCAGAACCTGAAACAGGCCGTTTGGTAAGGAAGATGTGATCTTCTGATTCTTCTCTTTTAAAAAAGGAAAGGAAAAAAAAGGAGCAGGTGTGGTAATGAACGATGTGTCTGCAGCTTTTTTTTTTTTTTTTTCAGTATGTGTGAATGATATTCTCTCTCGACCTATCTCACTTAGTTCCGGTTAAACCACCAGACTGAGTTCACATGAGCCAAGGTTGATGAAGCTACCTACCTTCCAAGGCGCGCGAGCCTCCAATTGGGACCTTTTCATAGTGTCATTCCACCTTCACTACCGTCCCAGTAAGAGCTCAACATAGGCTTTGGTATCTGGTCTCAAGCTAAGTCCACATACATCCAGGTTTAAATCACCAGTCCTTGCTAAAGTCGTGCCTGTATACAAGCCACAATTTTAGGAAACGTACAGGCCACTACATGAGCGACCAAATTCATCCGACTAGAAACGTTTCTACTCTTTTTTTTTTTTTTTCCGCGGCCGATAGCTGGGACAAGCACTGGTGGTTTAACAACTAAAAATACTCCACTGGGTATTACTCGGCAGGCCGCGGCACTGTTTGCCAAGTTCATGCTGGTAAGCGTTGGAGAGTGGGAGAGGATGAACATGGACGTATAGTATGGCCAAGTCCATGCTTTCATAGGATGAACATGGACATAAAGTATGGCCAAGTTCGTACTCTCAGGTCTTACACTTGGTGAAGACCATTGTAGTCCGGACAATCATGGTCCTAGCCAGAGGAAGTGGGTGGGTTAGTTGGAATGATCTTGGTTATCTTGGGTGTGAGGACGGTGGAGAAGATGAACCTAGGAGTGTTTCCATAATGGACATGTTAATCTTGTCATATTTTGAGCATGTACTTGACGCTGTTTTGTGCACTTGTACTTTCTCTTAAGTCCAGCGTGTACTCTTATCTGATTTCATCAAACTAGTAGGAAATGACCAGAAACGAAATGAAAATAGCGGAGATGCAATATGACTGAAATGTGTGAAATGAATCAAATCAAATGAGCAAGGCGACACAAAATGAAATGAATATATCCACAGATGTGGTCTGATGCACATCGTAAACCTGTCAGTGAGTTAACCTACCCTAAGTGTCATGAATGCATGAGCGAATGAATGGAATGAACATAAATGAAATGAATTAATCAATCAATCCAATGAATGAGAGAAGCCACCAGTGCAGATTGAGATAAATGAAAGAAGCCACCGGCACCCGAGTGATGAACTTGTGAGTGCAATCAGACTCACTTTCTTTCACACTTTACATGCATGCAAACAGTAGCGCAGCAAACTGGCGACATGCGCCCACTCAATACTCAGAGATATGGCAACCCAGATACGAGTTCACTTCCAGTGGCTATGGCTAGATAGCGCCCATACAACTCTCTGTTCGTATACAGTGGATCACTCTGGATATCCCACACGCGTCTCTCTGAACACTCACACTAAGTTGGATGTGTATCATGAGGTTTGTGATCATTGCAAAATTCCGGATTTATTCAACATGCTTGGCCCGGACAAATACAAGGGCTTCTTTTATTACTGTTTTGCTACAGCGATATGTCTCCCATCCAGAAATGTGAGTCTGCCTTGGGTCCGACGTCTGTCTCGCCTGGTGCTATGATTTCGTTGTTATGTTTTGAAACTGACCTGACTTGTACTAACATTTTGGCCTTTGCCTTGTCCATGTGACTGACCCTCTGGTTTTGCTTCAGGAACCCATGTCCTGTGGTGGCGGTCACCGTAAGGGCGCGGTTTCTTGCCCTTTCCTTCCACGCAGTGAGTATAGTTAGCTCCCCACCCAAGGTGTGCCAAACTCAGGTGCGGAGTACTCCTACTCATCTCACCGTTGCTGGACGTTCTCCCTGACATAAACCTTGTACACAAAGTTTCGGGTGATGATCGGACACCTCCTCCGAACAGAATAGCTAGTCCTACTGTGCCCGGCGTCTGGGACGGTTGCCCAGAGCACACTCACAGGTGGAGGCGTTCTGCAAACTAGCCGACCCATCACTTGGACAACTTTGTGGCGAGTACCTCCTGCAAGGGACGTCGGCAGCCTCCCCGAGCTGAGCCGACGGGCCTAAAACCCTGGACTATGGGGTTACCTTTTGACTACTTTCTTTTCCTCCTCTACCAGGTTTTATAAACTTGTTCCACTTTAGAGAGTAAAATTTTCGAAATTTGAGAAATACTTCACCCTATGATGTCAGCAACGCAACGTGAGAATCAGGAAAGGGATTTGAACGGGGATCCCTGTGCYRRTGGCGCGGCACGAACCACATATCCTTCTTGCGATCCTCCCTGTACTAACCCCCCTCACTCTTCCTCCCGTCACCGCTATGCGCGACAGCCTAATAGAGTTGACTGGGTTGCACATCATGAATGGAATACTGGTCTCTATGACGCAGGTCGCTGGTTTAAGAAGCGGCTCCGCTATATAGCAGCAGCGGCCCGCGTGGAACAATTTGAACTCCAATTATGAGGCATTGATCAGAGCCCCATTCAACCAGGAATGGATGCTCTATCAGCCCCTGGGGTTATTTATGCTATTGTTCACATACCGTCTGGCCGCACATATGTTGGGCAGACGACATATTCCGCTCACTATCGTTTACAGCAACACTGGCACTCCCGCCATTCATCTCTAACGACACACTCACGCCATCGTTACCTCTACCACTCCATGGCAAGGCAACCTCCATTTCATTTTGTTGTCTGGCCCCTGGAGTGTATTGATCCACATCTCTATCTGAATGCTGATGGTTCCATTGATCCAGAATCATTTAAACGTGCTGCTGCTCCTCGTGAAGGGTTTTGGGTCCGACGCCTGTCCACGTTATATCCTCGGGGCTTTAACAGCGTCCTCCCACAAGGGTGATTACCGCCATTCAGACGATCTCGTCGTCCGAACAGGTGGATTTGTACGAGAGGCGGCCCGAATAGTCCTGCTACCCGCCCTGCAGTGCAAACTTCTGCTGATAGGCCCTTCACGATTGACACTGCCCCGGGTCCCTTCTTTGCTATGCGCTCAGCCCTGCATCGCATGCTCACACAGGCAGCCAACTCGGAATGGGAATCCATATCTCGTGCCCTCTCTCAAGCCAGCTCTGCCTGGCGCTCTCGCTTGTTGCAATGGTTGCTAACGAATRTCTCCAACTCTGAGCTCACATYGAACATTYGTCAACTGGAATGCATGATCCGTGGTCTGCAATATTCACGCCAACCGTATCTCAGCCCTGGACATAATGGGGCTCAATTTTTAAATTTTATTAAGGTTATGCACATGCATCAGGTTGCTCGCACCACACAACTACGAGGCGTCCTTCGGCTACCAGAGGTTGCTGAATTACACCCACGACCTGCTCTTGCCAAGGAGATACGCATCTGTGATAAGATGGTGCCCCCCATTCGTGTTCAGTTCTGCAATTTTACAGAAGTGGCACTTACCATAACAAGCAATATGCCTCTTCCAGACCCTGCCAATTGTCCCTGCCGACAAGCGTTTCCACATTGTGCGGACATTGTTGATGGTCATGTAGCTACAGTGGACTACACTGTTATACAAGATACACACTTGCGGGCTCTCTTCTTTGAAGGCTCCAAGTACCGCCTCAATGCCAACACCACAGATGTGATGAAAGCATTGAAACTCGGCCTGGATGAGTATATTGCCAAGTTCATAGCAGCCATGAGATCAGCACGCAACAATGAGTCTGTAATTGCCGACAATCTCTCTCAGCTACGCAGATGACGCACAACAATTCTTTCAAGATGCCAACGGAATCTATCTACGTCACAGTACCAAGCACCCACTCAAGCTGCCTCGCGTGCTGCTAATACATCTCTACGACAGCTACAACAGCAATTTGCTATAGTGCCTGTTGATAAGACATCGCACAACATGGCAATCTGCTGCAAGCGCTGGTACGGGTACAAGTTATAACAACACCTTGATAGTCCTACCTACGATTCGACATCGGAATTTGTGGCCGGCATCCTTGACCACCACGCGCTTTTCAATCAGCGTTGGGGCTATCGACATACTGACACCCTGCCCTATCTCTACTTTGCACTTAAAGCACATAAATCCCCGCCTGGTCTTCGCCCAATTCTMGGTGTTACTCAACAAAACAACCTTTCTCRGTCTTCACTTCGCACAATRCCTCGCCAGTCTTYGGTCTCCAGTTTGCATAACAGACCCCCTCATAAGCCTCTTGCCAGTACAACAATGGCCTCCCGCTCACTTAGCTATGCTCTCCAAGGCGTGATCAAGTCTYTGCGCAGTAAGGACAATGAGCTTTATCAAGAAGTAGGTGTACGACGCTGTTGGATCGTACAGAGTGCTGAGGAAGTCATCTTAGATCTCAAGCAAAATGCACCATCSCTTCGAGGCTGTACGCCCCATACGGCAGATTTCACAACCATGTACACTAACCTGCCACATGATAGGATTCTTAACAATGTCCTAAATGCGGTTCATGAAGCACATGATTACGCCTTGTTGCGTATCCCGTAGGGAAGAAGGCCAATACAAATGTACACAACTGTAGGAAGTCCGCATTGTGGGAAGTGGGTTACTTCACATGGATCAGACACCCTTTCCGTGTCAGAGATAGAACAGCATYTGCGGTTTGTGGTGTCGAACACTTATCTCTACACAAGGGATGACACTCTGCGTCATCAGGTGGTAGGCATCCCTATGGGCACTAACGATGGACCGGAAATTGCCAACCTTACGCTTTATTGGGACGAAGCACAGTTCATCGATGAATTACGACAGCAGGATCTACGCGCTGCGCAAGCACATGCATTTACGTACCGATTCATTGATGACATCTTATCTTGGAAGACATTACCGCCCCCTCCTGCTCGATATGGTCTTGAGTGGAAGGACACTACTGAGTAAGATGGGTCGTGTGTTTTCCTTGGGGCAAGAATCCTGGTTCGGCCGGATGGCTCACTTCGCATCGGCGTCTTTGATAAGGCTGAGGCTTGGACATTCCCTATCATACGCTACCCCAGCGCTTCCTCTAATGCCCTAACTCATCAGCCTACAGGTGTGCTCACAGGGCAGCTGACACGATTTGAACACATCTGCAACAATACTGCCGACTTTAAGGCTGCAGTGACTTCCCTCACACGACGAATGCTCATTAGAGGCCATCCCCCCAGTGTCCCGGCCAGAGGTTGGAATGCATACGTGCGCGGCCGGCAGCGCCAGTTACCCACTCATGTTACACGGCTTTCGAACTGGTTTCGGCGCATGGTACGCTGGGCAATTGCCCAYCCACTCCCGAATGCAAATTYTGTTCGCAGGTCTTTYGCACAACCGCACGCAATAGGAAACATCCCGCAGCCCGACCAACATCAGCCCTCCACAGCTGAAATTCCAAATGCTAATGAGAATACGCCAACCCAACAGGAGACCGGACCAATCGCAACAAATTTGGCCGAAGTGGCTGCAAGGGAGGAGGGCCAGCATCCTACGAATACGGTGGCAGTTCCACCGCCGCCATCGCCGCCGTCACCACCTCTGCCACCACCACCGCCATCATCATCACCACGACTGCCCCCTGCCCTATCACCACCACCCTCCTCACCACCTTCAGCACCACTATCGCAGCCGCCGTCGCTGCCAGCATCATCGTCATCAACCTCAACATCATCATCACCATCATCACATTCATGGTCGGATCGGCTACGACAAAGGCCCAGTCGGCGGACGCGTACGACATTGGACCAACCATTGCAGATGCCTCTTCGGCGGGTCCATTCTCCGTCTCCACCGCCGTCCCCAAGACAGCGGCCTCGTCTAGCCGTGAACGGCTTGATCACCGCGCCTCCAACGACTATTAGAGATTTGCTCCGCCGACATGCTCGCAACCGTTCAGAACGACAGCGTCGCCTTCGATACACAGTAGCCAGGAATAGTACACGCCGAGTCCGATGCCCGCAATGTGGGGATGATTTCTTCAGTGTTGCAGGCCTCCGTGTGCACCAGACACGAGGTGCAGCTACTTGTGCAGCATTTGCATGACTGGCAGCCGCTCTGAGCACAAGTGCAGCTGATCAGCTTCCGTTTTCCGCATCTGACCCACCCAGTTCTCACCCCCCTGACCCGCCCCTTTCTCATCCAACTAGCCCCGTTTCTTCCCCTGCCCCAAATGACATTGAACCGTCTTCTGGCTACCTGATGGAGCCCCGGATTGAAGATCGTCTCTCTCCGGAGCGCATACTAGAGCCAATTGGTCAAGACCGCAATGAGTCTCCTCCACCTGTGCAATCTGCAGAATCGAACGAATCTCCTCCTGCTGTGAACGAATCTCCAGCACAACCCGCGGAATCCAACGATRTCATAGCGCTACAGCGAGGCYGYTGTGCGTACTATGCCATCAATGCATGTCTCCTWGCCTACAATTGTAACCCTTATTCGGTTGCTGATTTCGCAGACGTTGTCCGCTGGATAGAAGAAGAGCACCGTGCCGTATGCCSAGAGGACGACAGTGCTGCACCTGGTGTGAACATAGAAGTCCTGGCTATGGCATTTATGGGTAKGCGACTACAATTCCAGCCTGCCCCTCAAAACCACGTGCCAGGCATGTATCCAAATATTCGGGCATATATCTTATATCGTCCAGGTCATTTTAGTGCTTTTACCTTTGCAGATAACTCATGGACCCTATGGGACAACCGCGGCAGGATGCACACAACCGGAAATGTTAATTCTTTCTATCACCAAATGGAGGAGGGTCACACAGTCTGGCTCGTCCATCAGGAACAGTATGTCGATCACCACTCGCAAGCACTACAGCCCCTGCAGAGCACTCTGGCTGGTCCTACCACAAACAATGAACGGACCTCTCCAGAGGATAGTGGTTGTGCCCTCCCATTGTGCAGTGGCACACGTACAGTTCGGTTGGCGTGTACACGGCATCGCCTCTGCTCTGAACATTATGAAGGGATGGTCGCTGCTAGCCTCTCCCACGAAAATTGTGATCCCTTGTCTTGTGCTCATCCCCCCCACCCCCTGATTACTTGCCCAGCATGCCATTGTGGCCTTGATCTGCCATGCTTAAATAACTGTGCACGTCATTCTTCCATACTGATGACATGTCAGCAACGTGCCATGTGTCGTCAGTTCTTCCAGGAAGCAGTCATAGAAAGTATGTGTCTTTACTGCGTGGACTATCCCCGGTGCCATCATCCACCACATCCTCTCCTAGCATGTCCCACATGCGGTGTTGGTCATACACCTACGGCAACCGCAGAGGGTTCTTCCTCTTCCTTGCCAGACGTGCGACATACACAGCAGCCCTACGACGACAGTCAGCACTGTACTCATGTACGGCACCCTGACATGTCATGTCCAATTTGTAGACAAGGGCTAGAACGGCAGTGCCTCCATAATTGTGGTCGACGTGCCTCCGTGTTCCTAGCATGTAGGAGCCACGTTGCCTGTGACATCTGTCTGCGCCGTGCCATTCGATGCAGCAACTGTGACTGCGAAAACTGGATGCGGTGCTCCCACAGTCCACACCCGAACCGGTCCTGTCCGGTCTGTAGGGATGGTC